ACATTTCAAGCTTGTTATTTAAGTTATTAGGCTTAGCAACACTATTAACGTTCGTTTGAAACCGTTATCAACATAACAGACTGCACTGGACTTAATAACAGGAGTGCATATAATTTTAGTAAATTATTCTGGTGAGTATCAGCTGTGCTGGGTTTGTAAATCGGGCCATCCAGCTGCGGTGCTGATCCGACGCCACTCGTGCCAAAAATCAAATGTCAGTTGATCAAGGAGCAAATCTGCATCAGATGAGATCAGCTGACTTTGCGTGTGCGTGCGCTGTGCACAGCGGTGTGTACTCTGTGTGTTAACAAGAAAAGCGCATATAAGAAAGTGGTGCGCAAAAGCAGGGTAGTGACAGAATCGATGTGCATTACTGATATTTGAAGCATGTGTACCTGCACATTAACACACGGGTACTGTGGGATATATTTTTAAAGCGCTCGTGCTCTCGTCCACTCCCCGCAAAAAAATAGCAGCTGTGCGGCGTCTGTGGCATCAGTGCTCTCATCACATGTGATGGAGTAAACATCAAAAGCACAGCTTTATCAGACAGATGCAGTTTAATGTTGGCTGCTGAGTCTTCAATGCGTCACACGACTGGATTTCTGGACACGCTGACGTTGTGGAAGTCCTGCACTTTTTCCGGGCACATTATTTCAGTGACTTTAACGAGGCCGTGTTTTATGAGGTCTCCATCTGAAAAAGGCTCGCCATGTCTTGTGATGAGTTGGGCGACCTCATAGCTGCTATTGGAGCCTTTTCCTGGACCTTTTGAGCACAAAAAAAATACTGTTACTGACCCCGCAGGAGAGCTACCCTTTGCCTTAATTTCTGCTCTCGCTCAGCACCAGTGTCGGATGCGCAGGCCTGATGTTGGGTTTCATAATGACGTCGTACATTATACTCTTTCATAACTGCCATAATTTCAGTGCAGATCAAACAGACACATTTCCCCTTGAATTCTTTTAAGAAATATTCACTCTCCCACCGTGTCTGAAATTTTCTGCATTCACTTTCTACCTTTCGCTTCTTTGGTTCTGACCTGTTTAGTAACTTGGGGTAAATTTCTTCTGTGATTGTCCTTTTTGGTGGAGCAACTGCCTTGATCGACAGTAGCTCCCCCTGGTGTTAAAACTAAGAAGTGCAATACACTCCAGCAAAAGTTGAAGTGCAGCCATATTCTATTCTATTTATAAAGTTACTTGCGGGCCAATTAAAAATGGATCGCGGGCCGCAGTTGGCCCGCGGGCCGGAGTTTGGACACCCCTGGTTTAGGGGTGTCCAAACTTGCAACAATGCAACAGCAGAATTTAGAGATTCACTCTAACATGTATCCTGTCAAGTGAAAGCCTCGATACTAGCTCAACGTTACCCATGAAAGGGTTAGCTTGGAGCTAGCAATGCACTGTTTTAATGACATGGCAATCTTTTCATTTTGTAAAATAGTAAACAGCATGCAGAGCACTTAAAAGATGTTCTTCCTCACTTGGTTGAAGCAGCATTTTCCACTGTAAAAACACAGAGAACCAGTAATAACATGAATTCATTACATTCAAACTGTCACTGGTGACTGTAGCCGGCTCTACTAGTGTCTGTTTAGCATGACTTGTCTTTCATACCTGGTTCAGTCCAGCCATGCTTTAGATGTGGTTTAAACAAGTGTTTAACTGACAATTAAATCTATTTACATATTGACGTTTAAATCCATATTTCTAATGTGTTCAGTGACACGTGTATCAGCTGCCATACTCGTGTTCTTTCATGCTACACCAACTGGTTAACTGTCTGTTTATTAATTAAGAGATTAAGAGAGATTATTAAGAGATAAGAAACGTACTGATTGCTGTTCCTCTCTATGGTGCAAATTTATTTATTTATTTTTAGAAAGAGGGGCAATACATAATAATGAACATTTTAACAAATGTAAATATGCCAGATTACAGCCTTGGGCTAATTTCCATCTGCAGACCCTCTGGCAGGTTGGTGTTAAACACAAGTTAGTAAAAACATACAGAGAATATTTACAGGTCATGTGACGAGGACAAAAACAGTGATCACATTACACCAGAACAAACAATGAAAAGGAGAGTGGACACAGAGGACAGTATAGATAACAATAACAGAAACACATCAATTATATTGCACAAACCCCAGTATTGCACATGCCCTGACTGTCGTGATATTGCGTTCACCCATTGCACTAACAGTTGTTTCCCTTTTTGTAACCCACTAACTCTTTTTCCCGTCCAATATAAAGCATGTTTATTAAACATGATCACATGTTTGTGTGTCCCTCAGCCGCCCTTTTAAGTGACTCTTAAAGATGGGTAGACTTGTACTTCCCTCACTGACAGTGGAAGACGATTCCAGAAGCTCACTCCCTCATATGACAGAGCATCTGTGAAAAGGTGGTCCGCCTGAATGTCAATTCACAATCACCTCTAACAGTGGCTCGAGTCAGTCGAGACCAACACTGCTAGACTGAATGAAATGGCTTTGAGACATACCTTTAACAGGCTGATGGGGTGTGTCCTGCTGCCAGGTGGGCAGGCAAGGCTGAAATACTAGTTTGTGAATGTGCTACATGGAGAAAGCAGTGACATGGGAGTTTCAAATGTGTCTCCTAAAAATCTTGAATGAGTTTGAATCTCAGCGACCTCAAGGTCAAGTTGAGTTTTCTGAAACTCTTGTGATGATTTACAGGGATGTGATAAGCAGAAGGCATCCCAGGTGTGTTTATGATGCAAATCTAGATCAGCTCTTACTATAGTTCTCTGTAATCACACAGGCGTACACATGGATACCCTGAACTGTTGCATGTCACAGTAATCATAGCCAAAAATCAGATTACTTGTAAAAGTTAAACTGGAACAAACATGGAGGAACAATGCGGTGAAAGGGTGTAAAATGACACGGCTGACACACACTAGGTGGCACACACGTTTCAGAAACTGTTGCTGGTTCTTGTTGTATAAGCTGGTGAGGAGCCTGAGCCCTGGGGCTACGACAGAAAATATGAGTCATCCCATGAAAGACCTCCCTGCCTTAAAAAGCTCAGTCTTATAGCTACAACTGAAGTACATAATCAGCAGCAAACATACGAACTGTAACATTTATATCGGCTGATGTACATTTGGGCAAATCTCTGAAACATTTCAGGCTCCGTTTGCTGTTCTTGTGTCTCTCCTTGCGTCTCACGCACAACGCCCTCTCAGAGGCAGCCACACCCAGTCTGTGCTTCACAGGCAAAGTTGACTCATGAAGTGTAAGAAGACACCAGCGAGTGTTTCTGAGTCCACAAATACCCGCCGCTGAACCGCGCACACGGCTACAGAAGAGCCAACATGAAGCTTTGTTTGAGGATTGCGCTGCTTTTCCTGGTTACTGGAACATTAACACAAGGTAAAGCGCAGCTGCCAGTATTATTGTGTGTAACTGCTTTTTAAGGTCATGCGAGACGATTACAGCGAATCAAAAAGTTGTTTGGCCACTCGCCAAAAACAAACAAACAAGCAAACAAACAAAGAAGCGCTTCTTTGAAAAGCTGGGTATTATTCCAAAGTGATAAAGTCTTTTTCACGCGCGGACGATATGATCCACACGCGTAAAAGACAAATGTTTGTAATAACGTGTAACTTTTGAGGACTGTGGTTCAATGCACACAAAAACACGAAGCAACCTGAGCACTGAACTGTTTCCAAATGCCTCGATCCAAACCGGGATCCTTTATTCACAATTCATTTAGTTCACGAATCCGAACATTGTCTCTGTTAACGACCCTCCTGTGCGCACAAACGTCTGAAACTGCGCGTAACACGTCTCTCAAAACTTTAATGCGTGTGCGCCAATCGCTGATCACGTCATGCCCACGCGAGGTTTTGAAGCAAATTTAATGTCGCCAGCTTCGCACAGATCTACAAATATAGGCTGCGTTCAATTCCCAGTGTAAAACTGGGAGTTCTGGGCTTCCTGTGTGGGTTTTTGTGTGCTTTTTCAAATTAAGTGGACGTTTCTTTCGCTAAACAAACTCATAACCCGTTTATTAGAAAACACAGATGCATCAGTTACAGACACTACACAGTAGCTGCTGAAATGTTGGAGTTATGCGATTGAGGATGTTCCTCCCAGAGCACAATGATGTCATTAAAGAGTTTAGGCTTGAAGCTCATATCAGACGCATTTGCAACCTTTTCCATTGTTTGTTTTTTGGAATAATTACATTAACACTACATTTCATATAATGTTGAAAAATGTTTATTACATGTTTGTTACAGCGTCCTTAGTGTGGTCCTCTGGGCTTTTTGTTCTTTGGGTCAAACACATGATAGCTGCTTCTGGAGGTTTCCAGGATTATCTCCTTTTTGGGAATACACCAAATTCCAGAAGTGGAAGCAGTTTGTCACAGGACTGGTACGAGTTCAGAGCGAAAAGATGCTGCTCGTCAGGATCAGGCAAACAGTTTCATTCATTTACAAATGAAGGTTGGGGTGCCTGTAGAAAAGACTGTGAGTGCGGCGTTAACATGTTAACGTGTGAGTGGGCCTGACATGGCTGCATATCTGTGTGGACTAATGTGAGATATGGCCTAAAATGGCCTGTATTTGTAAAGCGCTTTACTAGTCCCTAAGGACCCCAAAGCGCTTTACACATTCAGTCATCCACACACAGAAGATCCAAATCAACCAAGCTGATCTTCTCCTCGGTTCAAACACCCGTGTCCAAGTCCCTGTTCACTTTACATTACATTTATTTGACCTCTTGGAAATCCAGTTCATGTTTTGGAGACTGACAAATAACCACAACGATAATTCATCCTGAAAAACCTTTTCCACGGGAAAACGTCACGGGGACAAAAATCCATCCATTCATTTTTCTGCCTGCATCCTGTTTGGGGCGTTAAGCTAGCTGACAGATGTCAGTCCAGCCTTTGTGTCAGCTACATTTAAAGTTTGCACGCCATTTGCACGTCTTCCTCTATCATACTTCCTGTATGAGGCTCAGAGCTGGTATGGCAAACCACAGGCATGCTTTCTAAAGTAGGTGGCACGCACTGTAGTTTAGTAACTGAGGTTTTCACTTCACAGCTCGTCACGATACTTTGCATAAATCTTAAATTATAACTGTAACCCAGGAAACATGACGAAACACCCACACTGGCGTGCTCACTGTGGGGCCAGACGCGCATGTTTGATGGGACATTGATATTTGGAGAAAAGAATTAAAACACATTCAAACTGCAGAACTGCCAGGATGAACCTTTGAGCCATCGTCTTACATCACCTGTCATAGGTCATGTAACCATGACCAAAGGCACCGAATCAGAGCCACACAGAGCTGATCAATAATCTACATGTCATACATATTGTCCTGGCATGAGTCAGAAAAGGCCGTAGGTTTGTGGGACTGTTTGCATATGTGCGTCTGTCTGTAAACACGATACCTTCAAAGCTGTTGACTGAATTCTGGGGGGATTAGAGTGGGCTCGTGTCCACTCAAATGTTGTTTACATCCACCAAGGTTGAAACAGACTGAAGAAAATAGACTGAAAAACTCAACTTGACCCCAAAATGTGTCAGATCTTTAACGACAGAACTGTGAAGAGAGGGAACGTTGTGTGTTCAGTTTTCTTGTATTCAGCACAACAACAAGGTGTTTTATATTGTAAGGTCGACCCTACAATAATACACACAACAATCCAATGAAGAAACAGATCTACAAATATAGGCTGCGTGTATATTACATAATAAGCCAAACAAATAAACAACAAACTCCCAGCATGGATAAAATAATCGTAGGAAGACACCAGAGAATGAAACTAAACTGAAACAAAATCCGAAAGCTTCTGTCGTCCATCACCTCGAACATTTGTCCCGCTGCACTCATCTGATCACAAACTATATTTAAAAAGTGCAAAGCAGATAAAAGGAACATGCAAAAACTAGTTCGGCTCCATTAAAAGTCCGTGCTGGCCAGAGAGCTGCCTTAGTGCAGCTTTGTGCTTCTGGATTCTCGTTTCTCGTTTTATTGCTGCATCCATGTGGTTCAAAGTGCGTCCTGGTTGTGCTTTATAACCACAGATGAACCAAAAGGCACACGAGTCCTCATGTCTGCAGAGCTGCTGCTCTGAGGCAAACCCGTGTGTGTCTGTGGGTACAGTACAACAGGCCCATCAAGTGCTGGATTTCTGCACTTGTTCAGGCAAAGTGTGGTTCACACCTCCTACTGTCAGCTGTGTCTCGTGCTCTTTACAGCTTCTTGATGTGTCAGTCAGAGCTGCCGTAGCAACCAGCAAATACACCGTATGACTGTATCCAAAACGCACAGTGAGCCGTGTGATTAGTGTGGACTGTGGGTTGTGACGATACTCAGGGAACATTCTGACTCCACTCTGCAATAAAAACATGAAGAGGTAAAAAATTCAATTTCAGCCAGTTTTCCCAGTTCTAAGTTTGACTTAGTGAAACTGGTGTTTAAGATTAGTTTTAGTACAGTGAAGGTATTTAAAATATGTTAATCAACAAAGGCTACAAATAAACAACACAAGACCAAACATCGTAATAATTCAGTGATGGTATCGTAGAAAAACATAGAAATGTAAAACGACGGCGTTGGTAATAAAAACAGCGGTCACTGAAACATGAAGCTGCCTGCAGCTGATTATTGTAGTTACATTTATTATTGTAGTTACATTTATTATTGAAGTTACATTTATTATTGTAGTTACATTTATTATTGTAGTTACATTTATCATTGTAGTTACATTTATTATTGTAGTTACATTTATTATTGTAGTTACATTTATCATTGTAGTTACATTTATTATTGTAGTTACATT